CTTTTGTACAAAGTATTAGATAAATTTCAGTAAGTGTGTTCAATACTTTTTCCCTGTGCCATTCCACATTATTACAAATAACTTCATTTCTGGGTGAGTGTGGAACTCTGGTCTGGATGGAGGCAGGTGAGGGCCTTTCCTTGAAGGAGTTCTGGCTCTTTAATTCTTGTTTGGTTCGGTTTGGTTTGTGTGAAGCAGGTTGTCATGTTTCCAGGGTTTGGGTCATGTGATCTCCTTGTTGGCTGCTAAATGAATAATCAGCTTAGTGCCACCTGCTCCACTTCCTGTTTCACTTTCTGCTCCCTGCAGGTCGGTTTTCCTCCCTGAGCTGAAAACCTGTAGCTCATCCAGATCTTCTGTTTCAGCAGCCGCCACTGAAACCTGCAGATAAGATGTTTCTGTGTCTGAAATACAACAACACACAAACACTCATCTGAATCAGACTGACAGGTGTTTGTGCTGAGACACAATCTGCTTCTGACATGAAAGAGAGAAACATCCAGCCAGGTGTGCTTAAAGCTGATGGTGGTTATCTGACAGCGGACAGCAGATTCATGTTAGCTGAGGCAGAACCATCTTTGTGTTTAAAAAGCAGAAACTCTGGAAGCTTCACAGCTTTCAGCTTTTTATTTTAGTTGTCAGCCTGCAGCTGCTCCAAAAATAGCCAAAGCTGCAGCTGTTTTTCACCTGCTGATGGACGATAACGATGCAGGTGAAGAAAGAGAGTTTATAGATCCTGGTGACAACAAAATAGCTGAACTACGAGCCAAAAACATGAGAATGAGCCGAAAACACGAGTGAACCGAAAACACAAGAGTCATCGAGCCAAAAACAGGAGAGAGACAGAGCCAAAAACACAAGAGCAAGCAAGCTGAAAACCAGTGGTGGGCACCAGCCCACTAAAGCGCAAATCTGCTAACTGGGGACCTAAATATTTCATTTGTGCTTTAGCGGTATTACTAATTTTTATAATTCATAAGCGGATTTGCGCTTTCTAAAATTAAAATGCAGTACTGCTAATAACTAATTATCTACCAGTCACTATTATCTTGAACAGCAGAAGGTATGACTGTCAATGAATCACAACACATGTGATCTATCCAACAGCACCCCTCCCAGATAAACACAATTATTGTGAAGGTATACATCCTGCTGACTGTTGCTTTCGGTCACAGTTCTGATTTCCCACAATGCTTTGCTTATGTAGCAGGAAGGCAATAGCAAAAAACAATAAACGTTTGTAATCCATAGTAAAATTCTGTATGTATTGATTTATTTTACTTTACAATCGGAGCTCCTTTTTTAAAAAAAAAAAATAGTTTAAACGCTAGAGCTCAATACTTAACGTAATTGGTCAAAACAACAGGGTTAGAAATGCAGAAATGATTTAAAGATGTTATGCTGGTGAAGACTGACATCTAGTGGTCAACTGGAGCAACTTCATGGAAAACTTTAAAATCCAAGCTCTTATTTTGAAGGGAAGATAGTTTCCTGTATTGCGTGCTTTCGTTTCCCGTCACAAATAAAATCCGTCATGTACCCAGAATGCATCGCATCAGTTTTCCAATAAACACTTTTAAAATTACTTTATTGATGCTTCTTTAATGAAAAATCTACAACAAACAAAAACAAAAGACAAAGAAGCAGCCGAACTAGCAATCCTCAACAACTTTTTAATTTTTACGCCAGGAGCCAAAGGTCTGTTTCAGGAAATCACATCCCCAGCAATCAGCAGTTTCAGAAATAAGTTGTAAAAGAGTTCATACACCGCTAGTTAGCAGTGTTGTACATACAATATATTGTACATAAATTGTTGCCAGCTAGTAAGTGTCAAATTGAACTTGCGCTTTAAAATTAGCTTCCGCTAGTTTTTCTATGGCATAAGCGCTTTTGAAGTTACGGACCTAAATATTTTCAAAAAAGCTTTAGAAATTGCGGAGCTAATTTTTGGATTAGCGCTGCCCACCACTGCTGAAAACATGAGAATGAGCTAAAAACATCATCATCATTAATCATCTTTTCATGGGAATGTTTGTCCCACACTGCTTACCGTAGTCTGCTGAAGCTCTGGTCTGCAGCATGACACCCTCCACACCCCCTCCAGGTAGTTGTGTGCATTGAGGGGTGTGACTATGGCAAGCCCTTTAACTCCTCCCCCTCCCAGGTAGGTGCTCCGTACTCCTCCCCATCCCCACGGTGTCCCGCCCACTTGTTGCTGCTCCTCGTACATCCATCTCTGCTGCTTCAGCGGCAGCTCATCAGCCCCCCAGCTGCTCTCTGAGTCCCGGGGGCAGCAGGCAGGGGTGGTGGGGACACTGGGTGTGGCAGGGCGAGGCGTCATCTTCCTGCTGATGCCCAGTGCCCGACGCAGAGCGAGACACCTCAGCTGCTGGAAAGGGGTGCCGCAGACATCGCAGCGGGCGTCGGAGGAAATGCAGCTGCCATGATGGGGCCACTGCAGGCGGTGGAGCTCATCGAAGAGGAAGGAGGCATAGGCTGGGTCCTGGGGGTGTAGAAACAAGAGGGTTCAAATACCAGCCTCTTAAAAAGACAAAAAGAGCACATCAATTAAATAAGTTTCTTTTCAGTTGACCCCATCTGTAGCCATTTTAAATGCATTATGGTAAAAAGCCAAAACGCAGTCAGACATGAGGAATTTAAGTTCAGACAAAAAATTGATTTATTTAAAATTAATAAAAAAGCAAACATGGTGACATTAAAATAAAAACAAAATGAGGAGAAACATGAAAAATATAAAATCAACATCAATAACGTTTAAACATGCACCCTCGTGGATTTGATGCAGCAAGCTTAAAACTTCTTGATTCTAAAGACTAAATGAAGAGATTTCTGTTTTATGTTTGTGGTTTTGTCTCTCGGGTGGGTGCAGTCTAGACCCTGCAGGTCTTGTGTTGCAGCTTCATGTTGAAAACTTCTAAAGTGGTTTCATTTGTGAGTAAAATACTGTATTGTTTCTTTTTACTTGTTTTCTGAGTGGACCAGTAGTTGGACCAGTAGTTGAACCAGTTGATGGACCAGTAGTTGGATCAGTTGATGGACCAGTAGTTGGACCAGTTGGACCAATAGATGAACCAGTAGTTGGACCAGTTGGACCAGTAGATGGACCAATAGTTGGACCAGTAGTTGGACCAATAGTTTGACCAATAGTTTGACCAGTATGTGGACCAGCAGATTTACCAGTACATAGACCAATAGTTGGACCAGTAGATGAACCAATAGTTAGACCGGTAGTTGGGCCAGTAATTGGACCAGTAGATGGACCAGTAGTTGGACCAGTAGTTGAACCAATAGTTAGACCAGTGGTTGGACCAGTAGATGGACCAGTAGTTGGACCAGTAGTTGAACCAATAGTTAGACCAGTAGATGGACCAGTTGTTGGACCTGTAGTCAGTTTGGGGTTTTCCTATTTGTTAGTTGTTGTTGTTGTTGTTGTTTTACTGTGGGTTTAATTTAGAAGGAAAAAGTTACAGGAATTATTTCTCTTTTCTGGGATTTGGATCATTTGGTTCACTTTATTAAAACAACTGGTTTTTGCAGCTAAAGGTTCTAAAAACTCAATCTTCCTGAAGGGTTCCAAAATGTTCTGGACCAATAGAAAATATAATCTCTCCAGCAAGATACACTATATTGCCAATATTATTTGCTCACCCATCCAACATGACTGTGCACAAAGCAAGGTTCATAAAGACATGGATGGCAGAGTCCGGTGAGGATGAACTTGACCGGCCTGCACAGAGTCCTGACCTCAACCCCATAGAACACCTTTAAGACAAATTAGAGTGAAGACTGAGAGCCAGGCCTTCTGTCCAACGTCAGTATGTGACCTCACGAATGTGCTTCTGGAAGAATGGTCAAAACTTTTGGCAATATTTCAGCACCTTAATGTTCCTTTTTTTTTTAAACAAAGATCAAATTTACATAATTTACAGCGGGTAAAACTAGTATTGAACATGTCACCATTTTTCTCAGTAAATATATTACTAGAGGTGCTAATGACATGAAATTTTCACCAGATGT